TTCAAATAAGATGCAGGTCCTGTGGGTGGTTCTGAAGTCTGTGCTATGATGTGGTTGCACACTCTTTAAAGGAGCAGGTTGGAAGTTCAAGGTGCTCCTAGAACAATCGTTGTCAGTTGAGGTCCAAGTGACTTCAGTGGCTAGGAGCATCTAGCACACCCATTTCTGCACAGGGATAGCCTGGTACTATAATTCATGTTCTGACTAATGTAATGCACCTACATGAGGCTGCCCTTAAAGACAATCCAGAAGTTGCAAACTTGTGCGAGATGTGGCATCCAGAGTGCTGACAGGAACAGCAGGTCAGCTGCATATAATTCATTCTCTAACAGCTGCACAGGTTGGCAGTCGTCTTCTAGGTCCAATTCAAGGTGCTTATGTTGACATTTAGCACCCCAGACAACTGGGGCCCAAATATCCGAGGAAATAGCCTTCCTCCATATCATAATACCAATGTATTAAGCTGAACAGATGAGGCTCTGCTGGTGGTCTGTTAAATGAGATGTGTATTGCGAGGGCCCATGAAGAGTTTTTTAGTTGTGGCTCTCCATCTGTGCATCTTGCTCCAACTTCTTATTCATTTACACATAAGAAAAAAACTCACCTTTTATGTGTGGCTTTTAGAGGCTGAGTTAAGTCATTCTTAAATTATGATACTATCATTTATGTATTTATTTTGTTTATTTTCATAAAACGTAGGCACTGCTTGATTGTTAAAAAGTAGTTGAACAGGGATTACAAAAAAAACAACAATAAAATCAAGAAAGGTTTGTAATACTTTAAACATACGAAAACCTAAAATACTAAAACAAGTTAAAATTCACAGCAATTTTCCACATAATCTGGGTAGGCTTGTCTAAACAATGTTTTTAGCAGGCGCCAAAAAGAATACAGTGAAGGCACCTGCTTGATATCAATAAGCAATAAGCTCCAAAGTGTAGGTGCTGCCACACTAAACAACTGAGTTCTTACAAACGTGAAATGGTCATTATGAATAGTACCAGTGTAAACTCCGAAGTAAGCCTCTAGGAAAAGAATTGGAAATGCAGCTAATTTCACTCTAATGCAGGTTGTGCACAAATCCTACTGTAGGACTGGACAAGTTTCTGGAGCCAACTCAGCGGTGAGTTGATATTGCTTTCTAGGATCTGGAGTTGTGGTCAGGGTGGATAAAAATCAATGATTTTTTATATTTTAAAAAAATCAGACTTTTTTTATTTAAATCAGATCTTTTTTATTTAAATTGGATTTTTAAAATAAAATGCTTTTGGAGGAAAAAAACTTTCTAAAGATAGGTTTCTGTTTAAGTTGCATTATAGTCCAAAGGCTATTCATCAAGAAATAAGGATTTGTTTTAAGTTTTTCATGTGTGCTGAAACTCAGTCTAAGGTTTTTTTAAAAAAAGAATGCTTAACCGCATCAGTTAACAAACATGGATACATATGCTATAATGTTTTTTTTTAGTTTACCGTATTTTTCGCCCTATAGGACGCACCGGCCCATAGGACGCACCTAGATTTGGGGGGGGGAAATAAAGGGGGGAAAATTATTCCCCCTCCCCCAGCCCCCAGAACGGGACCCAGAGCGATGCCGAAGCAGCTTTGGCATCGCTCTGGGAGCTTGCGGGGCTGAAGGAGGGGGAAGCCCTCCGCCAGCCTTCTAACCAAGTCGGGGGACAGCGGGAAAGGCACGCTGCGCCTCCCGCTGTCCCCCGAGTTTGCGGGGCTGGAGACGGGGAGGAGCAGGCTTCTCCCCCCCGCCAGCCTTCTAACCATGTCGGGGGACAGCGGGAAAGGCGCGCTGCGCCTCCCCGCTGTCCCCCGAGCTTGTGGGGCTGGCGGTGGGGCTCTCCAGGCTTCAGCGAAAGCCTGCATTCGCCCCATAGGACGCACACACATTTCCCCTTCATTTTTGGAGGGGGGAAGTGCGTCCTATAGGGTGAAAAATATGGTAAATTGTTACTAAGGAAATGATTATTTTTCTCCTTCCAATAAAGTACAGCAGAAAAGTTGTCCAAATATAAACAGTTAACTTATTAAACCTCACAATAAATTCATAATTATCTGTCTATGTATTTCTAATAGTATAACAAATCAGTAATTTTTTATATAACTGTAAAAACTACTCTGAAAATTTATTATTCCAAAAATGAAACTTTCATCTGGTTGTAAATATTATTATACCAGCAGGAATGTCTTTCTGTAACCCCCCCCCCCCGATTTAAATCAAGTCTTAATTCAATTCGCGATTTATAATGATTTGATTTAAATCAAATATACCCTGGTTCTGGTACATTAAAATGTCAGTTATTAACTCTGGCTCCTATATTTTGGAGATGGCTCTTAGATTTGGACAAGATTTGTCCAGGCCATTATACTGAACTTAAGAGGATTTAAGACATTCTCTCTCTTTTTACTTTCAAAAATGATTTGCCATGCAGTTAGTTGTTCGAACTTTTAAACCGAACTTTATGCAAATTCATGTTGTAATATTCTGCATACCACTTCAGTTTGCTGCTTCAGGGAGCAATGTACAGTTTGGAGTGTGAATGCAAGTGCATGTATAATTGAGAACTACCAATTATGTTCAAAACTTATGGTAGAAAACAACTACTATCATGTTTATACAGCCCATAAAATTTTAATGCATTTTCTTTTCAAAAACCAATAAAAGTCAATAATAAAATGCTAAACCTGCCAGTTTACAATCAGAGTTAAGGCTCCCACAATGCCCAAAAATCAGAAGACAAGCCTAGTGCCTTCATATACATGCCCCATGATCAGCAATGATGTTGTGTAATGTCACAAACTGTGCTTGCTTCCAATTTACTTTCTGCATATTAATACTCTTATTTGGTCTTTCAGGGTGAAATCCAGATGAAGAACCAGTAAATATGTCCTATGCTGTCCTCTTCCTGTTACCTCATGAAGTATCCAAGCCTTACTATATTGCTAGAAAAATCATTCTTGGGTTGACTGTCTTGTTTCCATCAGGAGCTGACAGGATGGGTTTAAGAGTGGGAAATGTAGACTCTTCTCAGAATCAGTAGGGGCAAAACTGGCACGGCTGCTAATGACTTGGAATATAGTGTGTATAGCTGTGCTTCCTAGCTGCAACAGATAGTTGTGTCAGTAATGAAAAGTGTCAAAGCCAATTTTGAAAATGGTCCACCTGTTTCATAGATTTTAAAGAGACAATAAGAAAAAGTGCATATTGACAGCGTTGAGAGGTGAGCATACCGATTTTGAGCAAGAACAGGTTACTTAATTATTTATGTTTCAGTGCATTTGTGCAATGCCTCTTCTCTAAAAGTTGCTCACAGGACCTTACAAAAAACATCAGGTTAGACAACTGAGTTCACAAATCTTTTCTCATACATCTTTTCTGTTGCAAAGTGCTGCTGAAAGTGCAATCTGAAGAAAAGAAAATAATTCTTGACCCCTTCTTCTCTGCTGTAACACCATACCACCCAGTCCATTTCATCCCCACCAAACATCTCAGGTTCCAAAGCAACCCCAGATATTTTACAGCATATCTACAGCTGGAAATATTAATATGGTGATGAATGAACATTTTTATCGTTCATCTCGCAGTTCCAAATCCAGAAAAAGAAACCTAAACTCTTGTGTCCTTCATTCTTACAGTAATGACACACAGAAGCCTACTCTGGAATAAGACAGCATGAGAACTGTGCAAGGTACTAAAAAAGTGCCCTCACCATCCTGCCAGCTCCTGATGTAAGAAACGAAGAGGCATAGGTCAACCCTATGTCTGCACTTTGCTTGCCGTGTGCCTAGAAAGCACAGTTCCAAGGTTTTCTGCTTGTCCCATGCTTTCTACACGCAGGTCTAAGCAGCTTTTCGCTTGCCCCACCACTTTCCCCAGGAAAACCCACTCTAACAATGAATCAGAGCAAATGTCAATCCACAAAAAATCCAACTTACATATGCTCCAATTCAGTGATAAAGAGTGGGTTTTCACGGGGAAAAGAGGTGGGGAAAGTGGAAGTGTGGATGAGCCCTAGGGCTCAAATGCTTCATAAGGGGATACAGATCCAGGACAATATTGTTGTTTCTCCCAGGCATTCCATCCTGCCCATCCTGAGCCTGAAAGAGCAAGGTAAAGCAAGATTACGTTGAGAACAAGTTGTAAGCAAGCACAACCTGTGATACGGCACAGCAAGAACAGACAGTTTTAACCCAAACCGGGGGTGGGAGGGAGAGAGAATCATTAAATACATATGACTGATATAAGACTGTTTCTTACGCATATCTCATGTCAGATCAGTGGCCCATCTTGCCCGACACTGTCTAGTTCAACAGGCAGCGGCTGTTTAGAGCCCCGTTTCCAATTAAAAAGGATCTCGGGTGATGCCAGGAATTGAGCATGAAACCTTATGCAAGCAAAGCTCCATTAATGAACTATACCCAAGATACATGAGATGAGGAGAATATAACTGTAGAGCGGGAAGGGGCGCCAGGGCCATCTAGTCAACCCCGCTATGCAGGAATCTCAACTCAAGCATCTGTGAGAGACGGTCGTCCAAGCTCTGCTTAAAAATCTCCAAGGAAGGAGAGGTGGAAAAGATGCTCGAATCCGTAAACAAGCCTCATATGTAAAAGTTAAAAGCACTTTCCCAGCAACAAAAACTCTCGTCTTCTGGCTGCTATTTCCTTTTCCCAATCGCCCTGCCAGGCGAGACTCGGGGCTCCAAAGGCAGGAGAGATCAGGCGAGGAAACCCTCGACACGCGCGCCTACTTCAGGCGTCCAAAGGCCCGGGAAGCTCTGGCAGCGCAACTGCCCTCTTGGCCGCCCCAGCCGAGCACGGCCGGACCGGGAACACCTTGCGGAGGGGCCTGCGGAGCCGGCCGCCCTTCGCCTCCCCTTCCCTCCGCCGCCTGGGCCGGGAGGGCGGACGCCGCCCAGCCTCGCCCCATGGGCGTCTCCGCGCCGCAGCCGCCGCATCTCTCGCGCCGCCCGTCCCCCGTTAGAGACTCACCCTGGGGCGCCTCGGGAGGGGCCGGGCGGGCGCGGCTCCTGGACCACTCGCCCTCAGTCGCAAGCAGGGATCTCTCGCTGGGGATCAATGAAGAGGCTCCGGCAGCCCCGGGGCGGGCCAAGGGCGGCTCCCTCCCCTCCGCGCCCGGGGAGAGCGCGCCGGGGCGGCACAGGGGCGGGGGGGGGGGCAAGGCCGGCGCAGGTGTCGATCAAGGACCCCAAGGCCCGCCCTCCCCTCCTCAGCCCAACGTGGGGGGCACAGGAGACGGTGGCTCAAAAGCGCCCGCCAAGGCAGCAGGCGGGGCCCTGATTGGCGCTCCCAGGCGTCAGTCACCCCCACCACACACACACACTCTGTACGTCCATTCACCCCCCCCCGCAGGCCGCCCCCCCCCGCCCGCCCGCGGCCCGTGAAATCGGGGGAGAGAAAAAGGCGGCAGGCGAAAGCCGCTCATCTCTTTCAAACGGGCGGGGGGGGGGCAGCGCATCATCGCCGCCCGACCTGAGGAACACAACTACTGAGGGGAATAATAACAATAACAATAACCATCCTCATCCATCCCCCCCCCCGAAGAACTGCCCCCCTCCGCCAAGGAGGGAGGAGGGTCGGCGGGGAAGTGGCGCCGCCGCTTACACTGACCTGCGTGCGAAGACCGAGGGGCGAGGGGGGGGCGGAGGCGGCGAGGGACCCTCACGGCGGCGGCGGCGGGGAGGAGGAGGAGGCAGGAGGGACACGCGCCCGGCGGGCCCTTTGGCGCTGGCACAGCGGTGCGCGCGCCGCCAACGGAATCAGCCCGTGACGGCACCCGCCATCTTGGAGTTTTCGGATGGAAAATCACGTGGTCCAAAATCCGCTTGGTGTGTATATATATTTATTTATTTATATATATATATATATTGCTTCCCTAAGCCAATCAGGCAGCGGCGCTATTAATAGCCCCGTTTCCCTTTTTCTTCCTCTCCCCCCTCCCTGAAAAAATAAAACATCCCCGCCCCCTCCGCACCGGAAGTGGAGTGGAGGCGAGCTCGGCGGGCGCGGGGCTGCGCCGGGAGCGGGAGGCGCGTCCCCGAAGCCGCCCAAGACGGGGCTCCGCATCTCGGCGGGCGGGGGGGTCCTTTCCGACACACACGAGCGCGCGCAGACGGGGGGGGGCCCGACGGGCAGCCCCAGGCCTCCCCCCCCCGCCTCGCCCGGGGAATGCGGGTCCCTCGCTCTCTCCCCCCCCCCGCGGCCCCGATGCCAGGGCCGCCCCCCCCCCGCCAGGCCAGGTGCGGGGGCCTCCTTTCCCAGCCGCCTGCCTCCCACCTGGGACCCCGGATCTCGCCCAGGGCCCGAGCGAACTCGCAGCTCTGGTACAAAAACAGCATAAATGTGCAAGTATATATCGTGAGGACAGAGACCTACGTTGGTTTCCTACTCAGCAAATGCATTGAGGAGGCTATATAAATTATTATTCTCACGTATCACTGGAGATAGAACCCATCTGGGTTTTCCATCTAAGGTACAAAATGCCTTCGGCAGTGGCGTAGCGTGGGTTGTCAGCACCCGGGGCAAGGCAAGTAATTTGCGCCCCCTAACCCGTGGATTTTAGCACTTGAGTGCGAGTGCGCCCTCGGATTTTTCCCGCAGATGTTTTTTCCCCCCCACAGATGTTGCACCCGGTGCGGCCGGCACCCCTGGCACCCCCCACGCTACGCCACTGCGAGCGCGCCCTCGGATTTTTCCGGTAATACTTGACTTTATAGAATCGTAGAGTCGGAAGGGACCCGATGGTCATCTAGTCCAACCCCCTGTGGTGATGATGATGATGATACATTTTATTTATACCCCGCCCTCCCCAGCCAGAGCCGGGCTCAGGGCGGCTAACACCGGTAAAATTACAATAGAAACATAATGGGGGGAGGGACCAATTTAAAATACAGGTTAAAATGCAATTTGAAAAGCAGCCTCATTTTAAAAGTAGCCCACAAATCGAAACTGTAAGGGGAGGGAAGACATAAGGGTCCCACTGAGTCCAAACCAAAGGCCAGGTGGAACAGCTCTGTCTTGCAGGCCCTGAGGAAAGTTGCAGGACCACGCAGCTGTCCCGTGCGGGGATCGAACCTGCAACCTTGACATCCCTATTTCCATAGGGTTCGGGTTTCCGAGTGGCTAGGGAAACCAAGCTGGATGGGGAGGGGAAGCCACAAACATGAGTCTGACCAAACTGCGGGAAGCAGTGGAAGACAGGAGTGCCTGGCGTGCTCTGGTCCAGGGGGTCACGAAGAGTCAGACACGACTAAATGACTAAACAACAACAACAACAATAATAATGTATGAAGTTACATTGAAAGACCTACATTGGCTCCCTGTACGTTTCTGAGCACAATTCAAAGTGTTGGTGTTGACCTTTAAAGCCCTAAACGGCCTCGGCCCAGTATACCTGAAGGAGCGTCTCCACCCCCATCATTCTGCCCAGACACTGAGGTCCAGCGCCGAGGGCCTTCTGGCGGTTCCCTCCCTGCAAGAAGTGAGGTTACAGGGAAGCAGGCAGAGGGCCTTCTCGGTAGTGGCGCCCTCCCTGTGGAACGCCCTCCCACCAGATGTCAAAGAGAAGAACAACTACCAGACTTTTAGAAGACATCCGAAGGCAGCCCTGTTTAGGGAAGCTTTTAATGTTTGACGTATTAATATTTTTTTGGAAGCCGCCCAGAGTTACTGGGGAAGCCCAGCCAGATGGGCAGGGTATAAATAATTTATTTTTATTTTTATTAGACACCCCCCAAGCCAAGGAGATAAGTAACTCTACAACTTCAGAAGTCATCTGAAGGGAAGTTTTTTTAAATGTTTCATGTTTTATTATATTTTTATCCAAGGTGACTGGGGCAGCCCAGTCAGATGGGAAGGGTATAAATAATAAAATTATTACTATTATTATTATTATGGAATAGGGCGTCTCAATTTTCTTTGATGAAATGTTGCAAGGTATTCCGATTAATGCTTTTTATAGGATATTGGACACGGTGCGAGTTTATGGCTGCCAAGTGGTGGCCTGAAAGGAAGCGCAGCCGGCGTCAGGGAACTGCTGGAGGATGGAGCTTGCAAGTGTTAGAATGCAAAACGCGGACAGGTTCAGGCGCGCAAGAAGGTGGGGGAAAGGGGAGCCCGGATGGCTCAGTTTAAGAGCACGGCACTGATAAGGCCAAGGTTGCAGGTTCGATCCCTTGTAGGGGGGCAGCGGCGTATTACTGCATTGCAGCGGGTGGGACTAGATGACCCTCGGCTCCCTTCCAGCTCGACAGATTCTATGAAAGCGCATGGAGCGCAGAAGTTGCATTGCAAGTAGTACGCGGGGGGGCGCAAGGGTTGCACAGAGAGAGAGAGGGAGGGGGGAACTGGCCCTCCGCTGGACAACTGACCCGGCCGGGCTCTGTTTCCCAGGGAAGCAGGAGGTTGCAATCCAAAGTTGCAGAAGCGCCCTGCTCCTTCTTCCGCAGAGGGAAACGCTCCTGCGGAGGCAGCGAGGAGGCGACGAGGTGAGGCTTTTGTGAGGTAGGGAGAGGAAAGACGGGGGAGGGAACCCAAGGAGGATTTGCACGAGAGGGAATGAAGGGGAAACGCGCCTCCCACGCGGAGCACTTTTCCCCGGGAAATGCACGGGGTGGGGTCGTGGCTGATCCGTGCTGCGCGCTCGTGTCGTGCGGCCCAAAGTGCTGCAGGATCGCCAATGCAAGACCCCCTTTTAAAACCTCCCCCTCCCCCAGCTCTGGAAAAAAAGGGGGAAGGGGATGGCGTCGGGGTGCGGAGGCTGCCCGTGCCCGGCCAGGCGTCGGTGGCGGCGTCGGCGCTGCTGCAGTGGCTGCTCCTCCTGCGAGCAGTGAGTGGAGCGCAGCGGCGGCGGTGGGGGGCGCGCGCGCTAGGGCGCAAGGCTGGCGGTGGCGGCGGGGAGCCCGGCGGAGGAAGGAACTTGTCCCTTCGCTCGGGACTCGCGCCCCCCGCAGATGTTGCGCCCGGTGCGGCCGGCACCCCTGGCACCCCCCGCCACGCTACGCCACTGCCTATGACTACAATTAATGATGGGAGAGGTGACTGAGTTTATTCCAGACTACATGGCTTGCAGCAGTGAGTTTTATAATATTTATAAAAGTACAACAACAACAATATGCATTATAATCTTTGCTCTAGTATTAGAGCTGGCGTAGCTAATTTGAGGCTGTGTACACACCATACATTAAAAGCATTATTGCTTCTCCCCTGTAAGAATCCTGGGAACTGTAGATTACCCTTCTACCGCACAGGTACAATTTGTAGCACCCTTTAACAAACTGTAGTTCCCAGTACTTCTTTGGGAGAAATGTGCTTTTAATGCCTGTTTTTGCTGCAGCAGGCATGCTCAGCTACCCCTCTGGAAGCTCAATCCCACAGAAGGCTGTGACGGCCACCAACTTGGATGGTTTTATGCAGGAGAAGGCTATCAATGGCCACTAGGCACAATGGCTATGCTCTACCTCCACAGTCAGTGGCAGTAACGTTTGTGAATAATAGTTGATGGAAAGTATAGGAATACAGAATGCTCTTGTTTCCACAGGCCTCTGGTTAGGCATTGTGAGAACAGGATGCTGGACTAGACAGGCCAATGTGGCCTCATCCAGCAGGCACTTCTTATGTCCTTACGTGGTTCAAGGGTAGAGATTGTGAGAAGGCATCTTCCAAAGCAATCCCACCCCGCAAATAGCTTTGGAGCCTTCTTGCCTCTAGCCTAGCCCTCACCCCTTTTCCTTTTCCCGCTGGAGTCTTCTTTTGTTTTGTTTTTATAATACTTTTTATTGAATTTTCCCACAAACAAAATAAAACAGTCTTTACAATCATTCTTAATATCATCTTATTTACATTGTGTAAAATCACGCCTCGACTTCCTTCCTTCCCAGTTGCGGTTTTCTTAATAGACATCTTAATATACATCTTCTCTTCATTTCTATACATTTCTAGAGACAGCACAGCGCGGGGGTGGTGGTGCTTTCCATTTCGCGCCTGCCACTCCGTCCCGCTCTCGGGCCTTTAAAAAAAACCCCGAGAAAACAGGGGAGCAGCTGTGGCGCCGCTGGGTGCCCGTCCCCCAAGGATGATCCCCTTGAGGTTTGGAGGTGCGCAGTGCCCTTGCGCCACCCCCAGAGCCCCGTGCCGCTCGGAAAGCCTC